GAGAGACCCACAGTGCTGAGCCCAGAGCCTGACTCTGTCCTGACTGTGTCCTGATGCCGCACGCCCTCTTGGCCGCGACCCTTTGAGCCGCAATGGCGGCTCTTCTGGCCTGCCCCTGGGAGCAGCAGATCCACCGCTTCCAGGGGCAGCCCAGAAAAGAACTGTGGCTGCAACTCAAAAGCCAGCTCTTTGCTGCCCCCAAAAGAAGTGGCCCTTTGAGCCGCTCTTTCAAAGCACCTTCATTTTTCATTTTTCAGGGGCAAAAACGAGAATTGTGGCCGCAACCCTTTGAGCTGTAGCCGCGGGTCTTTTCTGGGCCCTTTGAGCCGCCCTTTTGGGGGTAGCAAAAATGAGGATTGGGGCCACGTCCCTTTGAACCTCGATCCGCTGCTCCCAGGGGCAGCCCAGAAAAGCCACCCCGACTTCATCAGCCCTATGTGTTATTTTCAGGGTATGGCTTATATTGCGCAAATGCCTACAAATCCTGCTTTGGCTTATTTTATGGGTATGTCTTATTTTCGGGAAACACAGTACTTGGGCGTCATCTCCAAGATATCTCATTATGTATAAACAAATACAGGTTGGTCTCCCTTATCTAGAATTCTGAAATCATTTAAAACAATTTTAGGATCAAGACGCTCTTTAATATACAGTGCCACACCTTTCTTCTTGAATTGGGATGCTGACACAAATTCTAATCCCAATCTGGGACAACGTAGATGTCTACTGTCTTTCTTTCTTATTCTGGTTTCCTGAATGGAGCAAATATCAGGATTTAATTTTTGCAGATAATGAAAAACTTTTTTCCTCTTTTGGGGCGTATTCATCCCCTGTACGTTCCAAGAAATTATCTTCAACTGCATGGTGGACCCCCCTATACTCTATCAAAAATTACTATCTAAGTCACGGGAATAAATATTCCCAAATCCCATATAATCTAATAGTACAATTACAATCCAATATGATTTTTAATTATCAAAAAATTCCTCCGCCCCCAATCTAATATCTGATACCCCAGTTTCAATATTTGTGAATTCCCTGCTATGGGTTAAGGGCTGACGTTCTACTTCTAAATCCTCCTCTGGCCCATCACTCTCCTCCTCCTCATCCTCCCCTAAGTCTACTTCTTCATCACCGTCATCACCTCTCTTGTCCAGATCTATCCTATATTCAGAGGCAGTAGCACCCAGACACTGCTCAGAATCATATTCTTCATCATCCCGGCCATCTGGATCTATTTTGTCCTTTTTTCCCGGTGGTTTCCGACGTTTAATACACTGCCGAATGAAATTATTAGCTTGCTCTGGCATAGTTATTCTCACTCTTTTTTTTTTTTTTTGCCACCAAAAAGTTAAACCTTCAGGCGTCTCCCACCTGTAACTGATTTTTTCACTTCTAAGAATGGTGGTTAAATTTGCATAGCTCCGTCTCTTTCTCAGCAAGCGGGCAGGGATGTCTTTTAAAATCTTAAGTTCCTGGTTCTGAAAACAAAAAGGCGACTCATTGTGTTTAGATAAAAAGAGGTCTCGAGTTTGTTTCCTAACAAAATATATAACCACATCTCGTGGGAGACCCCTTTGTTTTGCCACTCTAGAATTTACACGATATAGTTTATCTATCTTGAATAAAAAGGAATCCAATTTTCTGCCTAAGAAATCAGCAATTTTTGGAATCAATTTTGAATGTAAATCCTCCTCTTTTTCTTCCACCAAACCTCTTATTTTGACTGCTTTATCACGTAGTTTTTGTTCTAGAACTGCTACCTCATCTAAATCACTTTCCCTTTTATTTTCCAACTTGGCTACCTGCAGTTCCGTCTTTTAATTTCTAACCTCTAATACATCCACTCTTTTTTTTGTAGTTTGCACGTCCAATAGAAGTCTATCCACCTTTTGATTTATTTCCTTCAAATCAGCCCTAATCTCATGTTTTATCTCTTTACGTAAATCGTTAAACTGCTGCGTAAAGATTGCAGCGAGGAAGTCAACTTTTTCTAATATAAGTTGGTTAACATCAGGAATCTTTAATTTCTCACTTGAAGGACGTCTTTGTGCTTGGGAAGACGTTTTCTGGGATTGGCCTCTTGTGTTCATCTTATTCTTTTACAATTTATACCAATTATCCAAATACTAATTATACTTAAAGAACAATATAAAGAACAATAACTGGGAAAAAAGAATACAATTGCAAAGAAAATATCAAATTACCAAGTAGTCCAAATCCACATTCAAAATTTTTCAATTGTCAGTTATCAAATACTCAGTATTAATACACAATGGTGTCTCACAAAGTCTGGTATTTCTATTAAGATCCCTACTTGCACCAAAAGTCTATTTCAGATCCTCACTGCAGTAATAAACTTCTATATCAATAAGATCTGTAAATACATTATTTGCTGCAGTAGCCACAGTTGCAGAACAAGTGGATGATAAACTGAAAGTATATCTTTTTAGCTCTTCACTTCGCAGTTCAACCTTCAACTGCAGCCAAAACAGTCACGCAATCAACTTTGTCAGACACTCCTCCACAGCCACCGCTGCCTTCAAGGACGGAGACGTTGTTGAGAGAGCCAGAACCCGAGGACACTTCAGATAATTCAGTTGATAGTTCAGTTGATAGTTCAGTTAATAGTTCAGTTAATGCAGATTAATACTTTAATAGTACTGATCCTTAGCTTCAATTCCACAAGGTTAGTAAGACTTTAAACAATAGCAATTAATCCAGTTGGATCTTTCAGTTTTCCTCAGCTTGACCAGACTTAAAGACTTCAATATATTCAATG